GTTGATCACAATCGAGAAGTGAAGACATAATTGATGGACAAAAGCATTATTTTGATGAGTCGTTGAATGTATTGATTGTTTGTTTAACTCAAACCAAAACACAATTAATAAATGATTGAATATTTAGTCGAGTCGTGGCATCGGTTTGGATATGTGTTTGCTTTCGATTGTGTTGTTTAGTGCTGTTTAGTGTACTCGTGATCATCAGCTGACCGTCAAGAGTGGTGCTGAGGAGGAATGGGTGCGAACGCGTCGGCGCTGGAGAAGGAGATCGGTTCGGATCAGTTCCCACAGAACGAGCATTACTTCGGTTTAGTCAACTTCGGGAACACGTGTTACTGCAATAGTGTTCTTCAGGCCCTTTACTTCTGCCGTCCGTTTCGGGAGAAAGTGTTGGAATATAAGGCGAGGAATAAGAGACAGACCCGCGAAACACTGCTCACATGTTTGGCCGATCTGTTCCACAACATCGCCACTCAGAAGAAGAAGACGGGAACCGTTGCGCCCAAGAAGTTCATCGGGAGGCTGAGGAAGGAGAACGAGGTGTTCGACAACTACATGCAACAGGACGCCCACGAGTTCCTCAATTATCTGCTCAATACGATCGCAGACCTGCTTCAGGCGCCCGACCAGACAGATAAGGCTAACCACACGTCTGGTCCCATTCCGAACCCCAATCCCAACCCGTGTTGGGTTAGAGACATATTTCAGGGAACGCTGACCAATGAGACGCGTTGTCTCAACTGCGAGTCCCTGTCCTCGAAGGACGAAGACTTTCTGGACTTGAGTGTAGACGTGGACCAAAACACGTCAATCACTCACTGTCTGCGAGTGTTCAGCAATACAGAGACCCTGAGCTCAGAGCACAAGTACTACTGCGAGAACTGTTGCTCCAAACAAGAGGCGCAGAAAAGGATGCGAATTAAGAAACTGCCGATGATTTTAGCCCTTCATCTCAAACGATTCAAATACACTGAATCCCAGAACAGACACACAAAGCTCTCCTATAGAGTGGTGTTTCCATTAGAGTTACGGCTTTTCAATAAGACATCAAACGTTGAAAGCGATGATAAGCTCTACGATCTCGTGGCGGTTGTGATCCACTGCGGGAGTGGACCGAATCGCGGCCATTATATTAGTATTGTTAAGTCATTCGGCTTTTGGCTACTCTTTGACGACGACTTAGTCGACAAAATAGACGCCTCAGCCATAGAGGACTTCTATGGTCTGCCCAGTGATACACAGAAGACAAGTGAATCCGGATATATATTGTTCTATCAAAGCAGGGATTGACACTAACTTTCATTCAAATTATATTGATTTGTAAATTAATATATATTTTAAACATTAAATTTATTATATCTGTTAATGTTATCGAAATGTAATAATTTATAGTTTAGTTTAGAAATCAATGGCAAATATCATTTGTTGTAAATTTTAATAAAACAATCATTTATTACTTCTAACAATTTGAATAAAAATGATTTATTTTAGAAATAGTCTTATTTCAAGCAAATTAATGAGTAATAAATGCAAAATACAATACCGTTTACTAAATATTTATATATTCTATCGATTAATTGTAAACGTAGTCATCATTTAAATAAGTTATTTATTTCAAACAAAAGTACAATTTTAACTCAATTGAGATTCAATTTAAATACAAAGTATTAATATTTTCAAAGAAATACTTGTTTTGACAATAATATTGAAATTAAATTATAAAATCAGAATTAAATACTTGTTTACATTTGTGTCCTTACAGTATATCGATATAATTATTGACATGAATATGAGAATCACAGACAAATATTTTGCATCTCATATATCTTTGGAGGCAAAGGCAACAACTGTTGTGTAATTTGGTGTTTGAGTAATGCTTGCATTGATAACTATTAGTGCATTAAGTTTTTGGTTAACAATAAAAATTGTATAATTGTATTGTGTTAGTCTGTGATTCTCAAAATCATATACTCTTATAATAATGTGATTCATTTAAATGTTGCAAATATAACAATAATAATGCAATCGAGAGATTCAAATGCAAATTTATAAGAGAATTATTGGTTTATATAGCGATTGT